AGGTCGCAATGCATCTAACCGTAATGCATTGCGTCAGGATCAGAATGTGTTGCTAAAACATATTTAGCAAAATATTTAGGTGTAATTTTGGGGGGCTGGGAACCAATTAATTGGTTTTCCATTATTTCTTATGGGAAAAATTCGATAAGAACTCGAACTTTTTAGGATTTGATCCGGAGTCCGGAACGGATTAAGTTTGAGAACCGAGGTACCAATATATCTTTAGTAAAAAAAATAATAATAATGACACTGACCTTGTAGAGCACAGCTGTGATCAAAGCAAGGAGCAGCAAACCTCCAAATACACCACCTATAATTTCTTTGGTGAAGTTTGGTTCGATGTGTATCACCACATGTGTCCTAACCTGCAGTGAGCAGGAAAACAAACAGAGCACCAGTGATTATTTATAAATGTATGAAATTATTGAAATATGTATTATGTGCTGGGACTCCCCCTTTGGTAGTTTTCAGTAAAATGTGAGAAATGACTTAATCATCTTAATCACATTACCTCAGCACTTGGATTGTGGTCCTTAGTAGCAGAAACAAACTGGTTCCGGTCATAATCCAGAACTAAGGTACTGACCAAATCTAGAGCCATGAGCTGCGTCTGAGAGGAAATAGACAGAAAGCTAAGGGCTCTGATGAGAAACTCTTCCCTTCATGCCAACCCATTTTCTTCCATACAGTTACATTAGCTACTAATTTACCCCAACAGCCTGCCATTATATCAGTTTCTCTCAACCTGGTCGTCAGGGACCCCGAGCCGGTCCATGTTTTTGCTCCCTCCCAGCTCCCAGTAGGAGCAAAAACGTGGATTATCTGGGGGGCCCTGATGACTGTATTGAGAAATACTGCATAAGATCATTCGCAGAAAATTCATGCCAACATCGAGCTAAGTTTACATGAGGTCATTTGAGCCTGAAGGTCCCACTGCTGCAGCATGGTGAATGAATGAAGTCAGCTATTTTGACTCTAGACATCTACCCAAAACACAGTCTATGAGATCTACGAGATTTACTACAGAACACACATGGTGACCTTCTGTAAATTCTCTCCATACATTACTGTACTCTTAGGATTCTTACATTTTTCTACCAGGCATATTGTCTCTTGGAGTAACATTAACACAATTGCAAGAGATTCTGCAGTACTAACCAGTATTACAAAACAATTTTTTTTACGGTGAACACAATTTCTGCTGTTACCTGCTCTATCCACCCCAATTTTACTTCGCCGGAGATGTTATAGAAAGTGTCTTGCAGCTCTTGCATGTGCACCGTACACTTTATCACTGCACAAACTGCAATAGTGCAGTTCTAACAGAGAATAAGGAGAGAGAGCAAGAGAATGACAGTCAGCATGGGTGATCTTTGTGGAGGTCCACTTTTCTCTTTCTGAATCCGAGATTAACTGAACAAATTTTTATATAAAGCTGCAGAATATTCTAATTAATAATGGATAATAGAAAGGGATATTTGCAACACTTATATTTAATATGTAATTTAAAATGAATTATACATATATTGTGTACATAGAGCAGCACACAGAAAGGAGTTAAAAAAATTTACAAAAGCATCTGAATTCAACACAATGATCAAGTATTCTTACCACAATCTGGGTCTTCTTCAGTATCTCCACAAAATTGGTCACATTCGGATTCTCATCCTTTTGGTTTTGACACCTTGGAATCTACAAATAAACAATTATTTTAACAGGCAACATTGTTCCCTTTTCCATTTACAGTACATGTTAAATAACTGTCTGGTGCTTCACACTTAATGTATTGCATTGTGCGGACCTGTGTCTATGTCTGTACTGTCAGTGCTCTTATGGACCCTCATCATCCCCAATGCTTCATATTCAGCCAGATGAGGCCAATAGAATATCATCAGCAACCCTATGTGTGGCTGTGTCTCCCAATCATGATGATATCCCCAACATAGGATCACCGACCACATCTTGATTCTGCTAGTATCTTCTACAAACCCTCACATAACCATGTGTAGGAGATGAGTTAGCTGTCCCACAGCCTGGCCAGAATTCACATTTTTCCTTCTCATTCCTAAGATCGATCATTGAATGCTGTCTTCACTACAGTACCCTGGTATATTTCCAAGTCTTTGAAGTATAATCCCATATTATATTATACCTTTAGTCCCTCTTTTTAAAAACAGGACCCACCACTCCTGTTTGCCAGTCCAGAGGCAGACCCCCTGAATCCATGGCTACATTATATCCATCACTCATGATAAACTTATCTCCTTCCAAACTTATCGATGGTTATGCCTCAACTTCCTTAGGTAAAAATTTGCCAAAACATCTTTGGAACCACTCAGTGCTCTCTCTCCTGCAGCAGCTCCAAACTCATCTTATTGCCAAGATATTATCTCCATGATCTCCTTCACTTTAGACCTTATTGCTTGACTGTATGTTTCCACTATCTCAGGGCAGCCCTGTGCAAGCATTGCCCTGAAGGCCTCCTTCAGCTTAACAGCTTCCACATCACTGAGGTCCACCAGCGGTATGACTACATGACTTTGTGACTATGACCTTTGGCCTATGGTGTTCTGCTACCCTGCACACTTATGGGCACTCTTTTGAGTACAGTGTTATGGAAAATCCATTGCTTTCACAGACCTCCAATAACAGTTGCCACTGGGGTGTAGATATGGAAGGGAATTTTTCCCATTCATGCTTCCCAAGGTACGTCCATCATTACCCACATATACATCAAAATCTCCCAGGTGGACCTCAGACACTGTAGGAAAAACACTTTTGACCACCTCACCCATTTTTGTTAAGTCTGCACTTCACCTCCCCAGCTCTTTCTTGCCAGTTGGTGAGCTTGCTAGATGGTTTCATAGCACTGCTTACCTGAAGGCTGCTTCTGTTGGTCCAAATATCTTTGTCTCCCAGCTTAATTGGTGATTTTATAGTCACTGTCACTGCAGGATTTCTGAAATGATTCATTACCTTTGAGAAAAGCAGTGGTGTGAAAAATCTGTTAGACTTTTAATCCATTTTCACTGATAAACATACGGCCAGTTCACCCACAAATTCGGTATAACTTGTATAATTTTTATCCTAATCCAGGATCTTATACACTATGTGCAAAATTATTAGGCAAGTATTATTTCCGGACATATTTTTTAGCAAAAGTTGGGCAGACTTGTAAAAATATATTCTGAAGTTTTCTTTTGCTCCAAGTAAATGTATTTAGAGAGAAAATGTTACATTAGACTTTCACAAACAAAAATAAAAGAAAAACACTTGATTTACAGTGTGCAGAATTATTAGGCAATCAGAAACTAAGTGGATTTTTCTCACTTCACCATCAACAGAAATAATAATAAAATTGTCTTATTCAGTCTATACAAGGAATAACAAACTTCACCAAGTTTATTATCCTGTATCGCCACCTTTCTTCTGAATGACCATCATGAGCCTGTTCGCCATTGAACCAGTCAAATTTTTGCTCTGATCCCATCTTATATTAGCTACATCAGCTAGGACCGCCTCCCAGATGCTGCTCTGAGAAATTTATCATCTTGGTAAATCTCGTAATTTAGTCTGGCCCTTTAGCTCTCAGTGGGCATTTTTTCAGGCGATGATGGGGGCCTGGTCATAATTCAATCAACTTTCTTGGCCAATCTATGGAATACTTTGATGCATAGGAAGGGACACTGTCCTGCTTGCATATCATGGAGAGGGGCACCGTCCGGCAAGAATATCATGGGGTGGGGCACAATCCTGCATGCACATCATATCCTTTTTAAACCTGCTGACTTCTTCCTGTACCAGTGTTTGAAGAAGGTATAGTGTAGAAATTGGCATTAGATCTTGCGGTTAATTTTTATACCATCTGGAAGTCTGAAAGATCCAACAAGTCCATCACTGATAACTGCAGCCCACACCATCACTCCTCCACCACCCTGTTGGTGCTTGAAGAAGGTGACCATCCATGGACTCATCCATCTGCTCCATCAAAAGTCACTCTCATCTCATTTGTTCACAAAACCTTTATAAAATCACTCTTGAGATGTGTCTGTGCACATTCTTGACATTTTAGCTTGCATGCCTTATTGAATGGAGGTTATGTTTCAGCCTTTGTGATCCTAGCGATGTCATGTAACACACTGCACATTGTGCTTCCAGAGATTCCATTCAGATTGCAGCTTTTTAAAATGGTGGTATTCGATTCTAAAGAGTTTCTAAAAGTCTCCCCTTTAATTTGATACATAGTTTTGGCAATTAATGTGTCTTCTCGCTACATGCTTCTTCCATCCTCTTTTTCTGTTGGCCCCAAAACATTCGACTGTACAGTAGTCATGTTTTAAAGGTTTAGCAATTTTGATTGTTTTGCATCCCTCTGACTGGCACTTTACAATTTTGTGTTTTTCTGCTCTCTGCAAGGTCCTTTTTTGGCCCATTATAATAGTCATAAAAATTTGCCTAATAATTCTGCACAAGAAAGAATCTATGTTTCATGTTTTTCTCCAAACAGTACTCAGACAAAATACTGAACATGTACTGCCTTTTAGACAGTTCATTCATAATTACAGATTCATCTGGACTGAAAATATTGCTCGGAAGAGAAGATACAAATAAAATACACACTTGCCTAATAATTCTGCACAGAGTGTATATAGTCCTTCAGTTGTCTTTAATAGCTTTGAAAGTGGTCTCTTTCATGACTTTCATGAAAATCTAGCACTATGTACATTATAAAAACGTGTTCCTGGAAGAGTAGCATTGGGAAATTGGCTGTAATTTTATTAAATGTCTGATCTCTGGTATTTGTTACTGCTTTCCTTTAGATTTGTGCACAATTATAAAAAACATGGAGAGTGACAAACTATGCACATTATACGATTTGGAATACAGCTATTAATAGTCACACAATGTCAAATAAAAACCATTATATTATGCCAATACCTGAAATGACACATAATACCTTAAATGAATGAAGTACATGTTGTTTGAAATCACTCTTCCCAGCTGTGAAGTTAATGTATGTAGTTGATTCCTCAGAGCTTAAATTCAAAATAAAATTGAACATTAATTAGAGCTGTCGGTCAAAGACAACAATATTTTAGTCCTTTATTTAAATACCTGTACTTATTTTTTCAATAGAAAAAAATATTTTTCTCCAGAAATGTACTGGGGCCTGGCATAGATATGCCATATAATATAATAATGTACAAACCTTGTTACTTGAAAGTAAACTGAATATTTTACACCAAGATAACTTCTTTTGAAGTTTTCGTTCCCTGTGTGTTCTTCATTTCCACTGAAAATTAAACCAAGAGAATGTTAAATTGACAAAAAATATTTTTCCCATTATGTCCAGCCCAACATACATTGCAGTAACTGAATTTTAACAAAGTTAAGGATTAAAAATTAAATCATAACTGGGCAGACTTTATTGTGTGATATATATATGGTTTCCTTGTAGGAGTTCCTGCTCAGATAAATATTATGTATATTATGTATGGGCAATTAATTGTGAATTGAATAAAGTAAAATAAAAAAAAAAGTTCAGCTAAACTTGAATGTTGTCCCAAACAGATAATCCCAATGCCTGTGACATTAAGCAGTGTGACGTCTGTGTTGTTTTCAGAAGATAGTACTGAACATAAATGCACCAGCAAAATCTCCTCTATCAGAGCAGGCTTAGAGGGGTCATTACCTTGTAGCGTTTGCTGTAAATGGTATGTTTTTATTGAAATTACTATTGCCATCTATGCCAAAACTGAGCACAAAGGAAGCCTGGGAAAGACATAGCTGAATGTTAATAGAATGACACTCAGAATTTCAGTCTTAAAAGATTATTTGTCAAATGAATGTTTGGATAAATTTATTTTATTTAAATATTACACATCAACTGGAAATACACTGAAATACTTCAGTATGTTTAAGTACTATGCTGCCTTAGGCAGCCTTATTAATACCCCTCAACTAATTGTGTGTTTTAATTTTCCAACAAAATAAAGATAAAATTAATAATTGTTACAATTAACGACTGCAAGTTCAAAAACTTCATATCGAGACTCATAGGAAATTCAATTCAAGACACACTGAACAGAAAACTGGAAGATTCACAATTACACAAATGCAATTTAAGTGCTTTACAGATGCATTTTTAAATTCTCAGTATAAACACCAGTCACACATTTCCTAATTGTTTTCAGAGAGTGAGGAATGGAATACTGAGCACAATGGTGAATATTTAAAGAAGTTGAATACAGCAGATAAAAGATTCTGTGATGCAATGGTTTTGGACCTAACCTGGGCTTTGCTATGGAAAATGGGCCTGTTGATGCTGCAGGAGATCTGCTCCACTGTGGCCAGAAAGGGCAAGGCATTGCACTGAACTCTTGCCCTACTGGAAGCATCCTAAAAACAATACAAATGAATTTTTAAAATAAATCTCATTGGATTCAAGTTTGTTCATAACTTGCAATGCTGATCGTCTTATTGTCCCTCACCTGTACTTCAACTTTTCTGTACGACAATCCTATTGGATAGGTAAAAATTATATGGGTGTTGTATGAATTCTCCCCTCTGTTCTCCACTGACACTAGTATGTTCAACTCCGATATTATGCCAACATGCATTTCAGATACGCTGAAAAAGAAAAAGAGCCACAGGCTTGAATACTTCATGCTGAAGGAGAAACCCCACTTGTGTGTAATTAGTGATCAAATATAGGTTAAGGTACATACAAATGTTTGTCTTTCTAAGTCAACAGTTTTGCATTGCATTACTCTTACCTTAGGAAATTGAAATCCACTTTAAGGTCATCGATACACACCTTATCAGGACCACAGTCTATTTCAAAGTCTAACTAAAAATAGAGGAGAGTTCATTTAAATAGCATAATAACTTGCAACATGTGTTACTATCATACCAGATAGAAAATAATGATATAAAAACTCACTGGATGGGATGAGCTGACTTGTGAAGCTGGGTGCAGGACAGGGGAAAGGTTTTGTTGAGAGGGCGTGTCTGTGAAGTTGAATTTTACCTGATTTTGTAAGGGATTAAGGGCATCTTCTGGGCAAGCCTGGGAGACAACATAAGATAAAAATGCTGACCTTCTATTCAGGGATCATTTGACACCGCAGTCTATTCTCCCATCAGGTTAAGTCAAAAAAGACTTTGACTTTTTGCTCAAGTCAAAAAAGATCTTAAAAATTTATGCTCTCTTGAGTTGCACATATTTTCCCCTTATCAGCACAGACACGTCCACCACGCTTAACACGAAAAAGAAGGCACAGCCGTGCAAGAAGTATAATTAATTCATCAAGCAAGAAAAGGGGGTTATACCCTCAATGATTTTGGCAACAAGCAAAACGTGGAAAATGCTCATGAAATGTTTCATTTACATTGTGAACCTAATTGAAATTGGCAGAAATAATTTTAATTTTAAAATGAAAGCATGGTGGTAGCTTGCTACGCTTAAATTCATTTATTCGCATTAACATGAGAATCCTTACACAAAAATGAAATGTTACACTGAAATATACTGTAGTACTGGTGGGGCGCATGTCTCAGCATGCCTGGCGTGCAAGTTGTAAATAGCCCTTGTTGTGTTGTTGTTGTTAATGTTAATGGTTACATTTCCTCCCACCGTGTATGCATCTTACAGTTCGCCGTCTGACAACCTTGCGTTTCCTATGTTTAATAGTGATGGGAAGTTCGACTCAATTAACTGATTCGATTCTTTCGAACTGTCCGTTGAAATGAATCGATTCTAAAATAAATTCTATTATTCACTATTTTTTTTCCGTCATTTTTTTTGGGCCTGACCGTATGACTCGATGAGTCATGGGATTGGATAATAAATCTAACGGTGTCTTAAGATTACGTCATTTGACTGAAAGATGGTGCTAGTGTTCAACAAAAATGTTTAGCTTGATTATTCACAATAAAAAAAAAAACAATATATAAAAAGCAGAAAGGGTGTCGATGCTGAATAAACACGTGTGTATATATATAGTTCTTATTTTCTTTACTTAAGCCAAATTCATGTGCATGAGAATCAAGGACTACATCACAGTTAACAACTGCAATATTACCAATACAATCACACATACACATACAATGAGCATGAGTAAACTTGCATACGTTGTTGTGTAAACGTCAAAGTTAATAAATATCTTTTTTTGATGAAAGACATATAGTTTTATTATACAGAAATGCAATAATTTACTGTTGTGATAAATGATGAACAGCTGCATTTATTTTATTCCCTTTAACAGCGTAACTGCATTTCCGCAGTAAACTCCGCGAGAGCTCTTGGGATCGATTCGCAAACCGTTAGTTTGAGTCACAGACCGAGTGTCCGAAAACCGTAAGTTCGATTCGTTTATCGAACGGGCTCTCGGGTTTTTTGAGTCATCAAGTTAGAGACCGTATCTCCCTTCACTTATACAGCATGACAACCAGGTATAAAAAATAAATCTGAAATTGTGGGGGATGTTTTGGATGTTGAATAGCCAAAGATCAAAAACGTTAAAGATTAATAGCCAAAGATTAAAAACGTTTTAAAATAATTTTAAGAATCGATTCGTTCAGACTTACAAATCTGTTTTATCCATTCACTAAAAAAACCAAGATAATAAGTCACTAATCACTAATGTGTACACAAGTGCTGCGCGTGGATGCAGAAATGTGGCAAAACAGCTGACATCCATGCTGGGCTAAAAGTGAAGCCTCACCGTCCTGCTATCCCTCCACTCTTTCTCTCCAGCATGTGCTTCCTGGACAATGAATGGGATCGCATCCGACTCCAGCAACCTACACAATGTGAGTTTAGATACAGCTGCATCTTTGTTTTCACAGACACATGGCTCAGCGACAGAGTGCCGGACACGGCCAACCAGCTAGATAGGGTTGTCTCATTCCGGGCCAACAGGAATGCAGCTCTCTGTGGTAAGACTCGCAGTGGTGGCGTATGTGTTTACATCAACACAAAATGGTGCCCAAACTCAGTCTCAAGACACTGCTCATCTTTGTGGAGTTTATAACTGTTACATGCAGACCTTTTTGTTTGCCATGGGAATTCAGCATTGTTTTCATTTTCGGAATATACATACCTTCCAGCACTAATGCTAAAGAAGCACTCTGTGAACTGTGCTCAGCTATAAATGAACTGCAGAATAAACACCCAGGTGGACTTTTTTTGTCATCAGAGATTTTAACCACTCAAATCTCAAGACAGTGTTCCCTAAATTCCACCACTATGTGGACTTTGAAACAAGGTGGGAGAAAGTACTGGATCTTGTTTACACATACAATCCCGGTGCATACCTACGCAGATTCAACCCATGGAAGGCTGCTGGATCAGACAATATCCCTGGAAGAGTGCTCAGAGAATGTTCAGACCAACTAGCAGGTGTTTTCACTTTTCATCTTTAACATCTCCCTGAGCAATGCCGTCGTTCCTAAGTGTTTCAAGACCACCACCATTGTCCCCGTGCCAAAGAAGTCTTTGGTGTCCAGTCACAACGACTACTGTCCCATTACTGTCATGCCCATCATTATGAAGTTCTTTGAGAAGCTCTTTATGTGGCACATCAAGACCCTGCTGCCCTCCTCACTAGATCCCCTGCAATTATTTGTCAAATGAAAGTTTGGATAAATTTGTCTGACACATCAACTGGAAATATATTAAAATACTTCAATATGTTTAAGTACTATGCTGCTTTAGGTTCAATACCGTACATACTAATACCCCTCAACCATTAAACTGCTTGTGCATTTTAATTTTCAAACAAAATAATGCAATTCGCGTATCGTCCACAACTGTTCCATGGACAATACTATAGCCATCACCCTCCATCTGGCCCTTACCCACCTGGACAATATAGACACTTACATTCATATGCTGTTCATAGGCTTCAGTTTAGCATTCAACACGATTATTCCACAGTACTGTAGCTGATTGGGAAACTGAACCTGCTGGGCCTGAACACTTCTATTTGTAATTGGATCCTGGATAAGGAACCACAATTCCAGCACCATCAAACTAAGCACTGGAGACCCCCAGTGCTGTGTGCTCAGTTTATTGCTGTTCACTCTGATGACTCACGACTGTGCAGCAATAAACAGTTCAAATCACGTCATCACCTTTGCTGATGATGTGGTGGGTCTCATCAGCAAATATGACAAGTCAGCATACAGAGAGGAAGTGTAATGATTATCAGACTGGTGCAGAGCCAACAACCTGTCTCTGAATGTAGAGAAAAAAAAAGTGATAGTTGTTGACTTGGAGAACATGGAGTGACCACATTCTGCTGCATATCGACGGCTCATCCGTGGAGATCATTAAGAGTACCAAATTCCTTGCCGTCCATCTGCCCGGGAACCTCACCTGGTCCCTCAACACCAGCTCCGTAGTCAAGAAAGCACAGCAGTACCTCTACTTTCTACGGAAGTTGATAATAGTCTACCTTCCACCACCCATTCTTACAACATTTTACAGGGGAACTATTGAGAGCATCCTGTGCAGCGTCACCTCAGATCGCAAGACCCTACAGCAGATAGAGAGGACAGCTGAGAAGATCATCACGGACATTCACGCCACACACTGCATCCGCAAAGCCACCAACATTGTGGATGACCCAAGCCACCCCTCACATTCTCTTTTCATCCTCCTACCATCTGGAAAAAGTAACCAGAGCATTTGAGCCTTCACAACCAGAAAGTTTCTTCCCCTATGCTGTCAGACTAATGAACTCTCAGTGACTGATGAGATACCACACACACACACACACACGCGCACACACACATGTTGGCGCACCTATCTAAATGGGTCCTTTCCATTAATTTCTATTGGAGAAACCCTAGTCCCAATCAGGAAACCTTAACCTATACCCAGCTCTAACCTTAACCATAAGTAACCAAACAAAATACAACAATTTTGGCATTCTTATTTTTTTGATTGCATTCACAGATTTTTATAAAATTGAGGTTATCCCAGTGGGGACCTCAAAAGTAAAGAAGTTTCAGGTTTTACTACACTTTTGGTTGTATTGGGTTTACTGCTGTCATGACCTGTGCATCCAGCCCTCGTGTGTGCCACGCCCTCCTCGTTAACCCCATGTCAATTCCCACTGTATCAGCTGTCGTGCGTTTATTCTGAGGTCATGTCCTGTATTTAGTCTGCATTCAAGTCTGTTTCCCCAGGTCTGTCATTGATGTTTGTCTTGTGTTGCTCTCCATTTACCCAAAATAAAACCCCGTCCTTTGGATTTCATCTCTTGGATTTACTTCCCCGCTCACTCATAGGACGTGACAATTGCAGTGTTTGTACTTGTTAGTGTCAGCTGTCCTGTCCTTTCGCACTATTCTACAATGGTTGCACAGTTTCTGCACACTTGACTTGAAATCCAATGGGTAACACTTTACTTAAGGCCATGTTTTTAGTAATTTATAAACTTATTCATAATACATTATATTGCATCCACAAAGCAGTATAAACATAGCTGTAAATGTTTATAAAAAGGCATGTTTTTAATGTATTATCACTGCCTTATCTCGTCTATAATGTGCGATAGATAACTTTGTAATGCAGTACAAAGCATCCTTAATGCTAATACTAGATTCAAGTTGACAGCCCCGTGGCAGACGTGTTTGGTCGCTCCACTCTCAAATACCGCCTTTCTCTTGTTTTTTGTGTGTTTTCTATTCTTTTTGTACTGGACAAGTGTTGTGCACTGCTAGCTTATAGCAGACAGGCACTACTAGACATTGGCAACTCACACAATCTTTTGGACTTTACTGGTTTTATACCACTGGAGCAAGTCATTGTCCACCCTGGCAGCCACTGCCACCACTCGAAGCACCGAGCCCGAGTGAGCCGGCTGACCCCAGGAGACGCAAGCGAGGCAATAGGCGGGGACTCCATGCTAGGCTAAAGGCTCGAGCTAGCCGACGACTGCTACCCAGCCTCTTACTAGCCAATGTGCGGTCCCGGGAAAACAAACTGGATGAACTACGAGCCAGGATCACAACACAGTGAGAAATAAGAGAGTGCTGCGCTCTTATTTTCACTGAGAC